GGGTACAACGGGTGGGTACAGTGGAGGGTACAACTGTGGGTTACAGTGGGGGTATAACTGTGGGTACAGTGAAGGGTACAATGGGGTACAGGGGGAGGGTATAACTGTGGGTACAGTGGAGGGTACAACTGTGGGTACAGTGGAGGGTACAACTGTGGGTACAGTGAAGGGTACAACTGTGGGTACAGTGGAGGGTACAACTGTGGGTACAGTGGAGGGTATAACTGTGGGTACAGTGAAGGGTATAACTGTGGGTACAGTGGAGGGTACAACTGTGGGTACAGTGGAGGGTACAGTGGAGGGTACAACTGTGGGTACAGTGGAGGGTACAACTGTGGGTACAGTGGAGGGTACAACTGTGGGTACAGTGGAGGGTACAACTGTGGGTACAGTGGAGGGTACAACTGTGGGTACAGTGGAGGGTACAACTGTGGGTACAGTGGAGGGTACAACTGTGGGTACAGTGGGGGTACAGTGTGGGTACAGTGGAGGGTACAGCTGTGGGTACAAGTGGAGGGTACAATTTGTGGGTACAGTGAAGGGTACAACTGTGGGTACAGTGGAGGGTACAACTGTGGGTACAGTGGAGGGTACAACTGTGGGTACAGTGGAGGGTATAACTGAGTACAGTGGAGGGTACAACTGTGGGTACAGTGAAGGGTACAACTGTGGGTACAGTGGAGGGTACAACTGTGGGTACAGTGGAGGGTATAACTGTGGGTACAGTGAAGGGTACAACTGTGCGTACAGTGGAGGGTATAACTGTGGGTACAGTGGAGGGTATAACTGGGTACAGTGAATTGTATAACTGTGGGTACAGTGGAGGGTACAACTGTGGGTACAGTGGAGGGTATAACTGTGGGTACAGTGAAGGGTACAACTGTGGGTACAGTGGAGGGTAACTGTGGGTACGGGTTGAAGGATACAACTGTGGGTACAGTGGAGGGTATAACTGTGGGTACATTGAAGGGTACAACTGTGGGTACAGTGGAGGGTACAACTGTGGGTACAGTGGAGGGTATAACTGTGGGTACAGTGGAGGGTATAACTGTGGGTACAGTGAAGGGTACAACTGTGGGTACAGTGGAGGGTATAACTGTGGGTACAGTGAAGGGTACAACTGTGGGTACAGTGGAGGGTATAACTGTGGGTACAGTGAAGGGTATAACTGTGGGTACAGTGGAGGGTTAAAACTGTGGGTACAGTGAAGGGGTAAAAACTGTGGGTACAGTGGGGGGTATAATGTGGGTACAGTGAAGGGTACAACTGTGGGTACAGTGAAGGGTATAACTGTGGGTACAGTGGAGGGTATAACTGTGGGTACAGTGGAGGGTATAACTGTGGGTACAGTGGAGGGTATAACTCTGGGTACAGCTGAGGGTACAACTGTGGGTACAGTGGAGGGTACAGTGAAGGGTACAGTGAAGGGTACAACTCGTTCAGGTTATATGCTTGCCTTTTCTTGCGAGGATCTTTGATTACACCTACTTGGCGACCTGACCCCCGACGGGTTTATCGCTTCCCCGTGAATATTACATAGAGAGAAAGTCGACTTATAATACACAGTCGAGGCAGTAATAAGGGTTATAATGTGCAGGCGAAATTCCCCCTTAATGACACTCCTGCAGTAACTCAGTGGTCAACGTAACATGGTCAGAATTTGCCGTTATTGTTTTATATGTTCTGTTTGGTTAATTGTATTTTGGGATATTTATTCTGCCATCTTTTTGGATATTATTTTTTATTTCTTTCTTTATAATAAACAACTTATGATCAGATTGTGGCTAAAATTTGAAATGGTCAAAATGGATCAAAATGTCGACAATACATTAAAACCATTGTCTCGTGTTGTGTATGATAATATCTTGGTTATTTTATGTAATTATGTATGAAAAGTTCAGCTAGGTCTCTGAGTAGGAGAGTTACGTCTGGCAGTGAGGGATACATTGGTGTCACTTATTTCGTTGGGAAATATACGCTTGTTATGTTTGATGCCAGGACTGGCCATGGTGTCTGGTGTGTACTTCTTCCTGCACGTCCCGGCGGGGTGCGAATATTTTCATACGTTTTTCTTACACCTGTTGTCCTGTTCACCTAGCAGCAAGTAGGTACCTGGGTGTTAGTGGACTGGTGTGGGTGGCATCCTGGGTGTTAGTGGACTGGTGTGGGTGGCAGCCTGGGTGTTAGTGGACTGGTGTGGGTGGCATCCTGGGTGTTAGTGGACTGGTGTGGGTGGCATCCTGGGTGTTAGTGGACTGGTGTGGGTGGCATGCCTGGGTGTTAGTGGACTGGTGTGGGTGGCAGCCTGGGTGTTAGTGGACTGGTGTGGGTGGCATCCTGGGTGTTAGTGGACTGGTGTGGGTGGCATCCTGGGTGTTAGTGGACTGGTGTGGGTGGCATCCTGTGTGTTAGTGGACTGGTGTGGGTGGCATCCTGTGTGTTAGTGGACTGGTGTGGGTGGCAGCCTGGGTGTTAGTGGACTGGTGTGGGTGGCATCCTGGGTGTTAGTGGACTGGTGTGGGTGGCTTCCTGGGTGTTAGTGGACTGGTGTGGGTGGCATCCTGTGTGTTAGTGGACTGGTGTGGGTGGCATCCTGGGTGTTAGTGGACTGGTGTGGGTGGCTTCCTGGGTGTTAGTGGACTGGTGTGGGTGGCATCCTGGGTGTTAGTGGACTGGTGTGGGTCGCATCCTGAGTGTTAGTGGACTGGTGTGGGTGGCATCCTGTGTGTTAGTGGACTGGTGTGGGTGGCTTCCTGGGTGTTAGTGGACTGGTGTGGTGGCATCCTGGGTGTTAGTGGACTGTGTGGGTCGCATCCTGGGTGTTAGTGGACTGTGTGTGGTGGCATCCTGTGTGTTAGTGGACTGGTGTGGGTGGCTTCCTGGGTGTTAGTGGACTGGTGTGGGTGGCATCCTGGGTGTTAGTGGACTGGTGTGGGTGGCATCCTGTGTGTTAGTGGACTGGTGTGGGTGGCTTCCTGGGTGTTAGTGGACTGGTGTGGGTGGCTTCCTGGGTGTTAGTGGACTGGTGTGGGTGGCATCCTGGGTGTTAGTGGACTGGTGTGGGTGGCATCCTGTGTGTTAGTGGACTGGTGGGGTGGCTTCCTGGGTGTTAGTGGACTGGTGTGGGTGCATCCTGGGTGTTAGTGGAACTGGTGTGGGTGTGCATCCTGTGTGTTAGTGGACTGGTGTGGGTGGCTTCCCTGGGTGTTAGTGGACTGGTGTGGGTGGCATCCGGGTGTTAGTGGACTGGTGTGGGTGGCATCCTGGGTGTTAGTGGACTGATGTGGGTGGCATCCTGGGTGTTAGTGGACTGGTGTGGGTGGCATCCTGGGTGTTAGTGGACTGGTGTGGGTGGCATCCCTGGGTGTTAGTGGGACTGGTGTGGGTGGCTTCCTGGGTGTTAGTGGACTGGTGTGGGTGGCATCCTGGGTGTTAGTTGGACTGGTGTGGGGTGGCATCCTGTGTGTTAGTGACTGGTGTGGGTGGCTTCCTGGGTGTTAGTGGACTGGTGTGGGTGGCATCCTGGGTGTTTAGTGGACTGGTGTGGGTCGCATCCTGGGTGTTAGTGGACTGGTGTGGGTGGCATCCTGTGTGTTAGTGGACTGGTGTGGGTGGCTTCCTGGGTGTTAGTGGACTGGTGTGGGTGGCATCCTGGGTGTTAGTGGACTGGTGTGGGTGGCATCCTGTGTGTTAGTGGACTGGTGTGGGTGGCATCCTGGGTGTTAGTGGACTGTGTGGGTGGCTTCCTGGGTGTTAGTGGACTGGTGTGGGTGGCATCCTGGGTGTTAGTGGACTGGTGTGGGTGGCATCCTGTGTGTTAGTGGACTGGTGTGGGTGGCTTCCTGGGTGTTAGTGGACTGGTGTGGGTGGCATCCTGGGTGTTAGTGGACTGGTGTGGGTGGCATCCTGGTGTTAGTGGACTGGTGTGGGTGGCTTCCTGGGTGTTAGTGGACTGGTGTGGGTGGCATCCTGGGTGTTAGTGGACTGGTGTGGGTGGCATCCTGGGTGTTAGTGGACTGATGTGGGTGGCATCCTGGGTGTTAGTGGACTGGTGTGGGTGGCATCCTGGGTTTTAGTGGACTGGTGTGGATGGCATCCTGGGTGTTAGTGGACTGGTGTGGTGGCATCCTGGGTGTTAGTGGACTGGTGTGGGTGGCATCCTGGGTGTTAGTGGACTGGTGTGGGTGGCATCCTGGGTGTTAGTGGACTGGTGTGGGTGGCATCCTGGGTGTTAGTGGACTGGTGTGGGTCACATCCTGGGTGTTAGTGGACTGGTGTGGGTCACATCCTGGGTGTTAGTGGACTGGTGTGGGTGGCATCCTGGGTGTTAGTGGACTGGTGTGGGTGGCATCCTGGGTGTTAGTGGACTGGTGTGGGTCACATCCTGGGTGTTAGTTGACTGTGTGGGTGGCACTGGGTGTTAGTGGACTGGTGTGGGTCACATCCTGGGTGTTAGTGGACTGGTGTGGGTGGCATCCTGGGGGACAAGATTGAGCACCACAATTGAAATAAGCTAGACAATCCTGGATGACGCACTGACTTTCTTGGGTTATCCTGGGTGGCTAACCCTCCGGGGTTAAAAATCCGAACGAAAATCTTCACTGCTTGTTGATGTAGCTTAGGTTAGGTAATGTTTGTCAGGAAACAGGACAAGTGTTTCCTGACGCGGGTCTTACATAATGTGGGTACCCACAGCTGGAGCTTTCTGTCATCTAACCGAGGCCTTCCACTGGCTTACCACTCCACCCTTTTAAAAAAGGTTATAATCTGCAAGACAGTTATCACCCAGCCGGGCTGTGGCTCGTACGTTGGTTTGCGTGCAGCCAGCAGCAACAGCCTGGTTGATCAGGCGCTGATCCACCAGGAGGCCTGGTCACAGACCGGGCCGCGGGGGCGTTGACCCCCGAAACTCTCTCCAGGTAAACTCCAGGTAAATACATTAATTTCTTTTCTAACGGAAATGTGAAGTGTATGTTGTTAAATGTTTTGCACTCTGGCAGGATGACTCGTCATTACCTTCTGGGTCACGAACATGTAATATGCGACAGGAAATTTTTACAAAGGATTCAGTATACTCTTAATAGTATATAAATGGCAGAAACCCACATGTAGACAGAAACAGGTAAACAAAGTTTAATACGTATTTCAACCTCCATCTGGGGTCCTCATCAGGAGGTATAAGGGATGAGGACCTTAAAATGTACAGTGAACTGTTTAACTGTTACTGTATGTTAGTTCCTGCGTCTCGTCTGTGATTCATCTTTATTCAAATTCAAATTCAAAGTTTATTCTCTATAAGGATTACAATGCTGAGTTTACAGAAATTTGGTTATTGTGTGGTTTACATGTAGTAAAATTGTGATTACAGAGTGTACCACTAGAACACCTGCATGGCTAGGTATTACAGAGTGTACCACTAGAACACCTAGTTTTTGGCTAGGTATTACAGAGTGAAACCACTAGAACACCTAGCTTGGCTAGGTATTACGAGTGTACCACTAGAACACCTAGAAATGGCTAGGCATTACAGAGTGTACCACTAGAACACCTAGCATGGCTTTAGGCATTACAGAGTGTACCACTAGAACACCTAGCTTGGCTAGGTATTACAGAGTGAAACCACTAGAAACACCTAGCTGGCTAGGTATTACAGAGTGTCCCACTAGAACACCTAGCATGGCTAGGCATACAGAGTGTACCACTAGAACACCTAGCATGGCTAGGCATTACAGAGTGTACCACTAGAACACCTAGCATGGCAAAGGCATTACAGAGTGTACCACTAGAACACCTACCCAGGCTGGGCATTACAGAGTGTACCACTAGAACCCCTGCATGGCTAGGCATTACAGAGTGTACCACTAGAACACCTAGCATGGCTAGGCATTACAGAGTGAAACCACTAAAAAACACCTAGCATGGCTAGGCATTACAGAGTGTACCACTAGAACACCTAGCATGGCTTTAGGCATTACAGAGTGTACACTAGAACCCCTAGCATGGCTAGGCATTACAGAGTGTACCACTAAAAAACACCTAGCATGGCTAGGCATTACAGAGTGTACCACTAGAACACCTAGAAATGGCTAGGTATTACAGAGTGTACCATAGAACACCTAGCATGGCTAGGTATTACAGAGTGTACCACTAGAACCTAGCATGGCTAGGCATTACAGATTTGTACCACTAGAACACTAGCATGGCTAGGTATTACAGAGTTTTACCACTAGAACACCTAGCATGGCTAGGTATTACAGAGTGTACCATAGAGCACCTAGCATGGCTAGGCATTACAGAGTGTACCACTAGAACACCTAGCATGGCAGGTATACAGAGTGTACCACTAGAACACCTAGCATGGCTAGGCATTACAGTGTACCACTAGAACACCTAGCATGGCTAGGCATTACAGAGTGTACCATTTAGAAAAACCTAGCATGGCTAGGCATTACAGAGTGTACCACTAGAACACCTAGCATGGCTAGGCATTACAGTGTTACCACTAGAACACCTAGCATGGCTAGGCATTACAGAGTGTCCCACAGAACCCCTAGCATGGCTAGGCATTACAGAGGTACCACTAGAACACCTAGCATGGCTAGGCATTACAGTGTACCACTAGAACCCCAAACATGGCTAGGCATTACAGAGTGTACCACTAGAACACCTAGCATGGCTAGGCATTACAGAGTGTACCACTAGAACACCTAGCATGGCTAGGCATTACAGAGTGTACCACTAGAACACCTAGAAATGGCTGGGGCTTTTAACAGAGTGTACCACTAGAACACCTAGCATGGCTAGGCATTACAGAGTGTACCACTAAAAACACCTAGCAAGGCTAGGCTTTACAGGAGTGTACCACTAGAACACCTAGCATGGCTAGGCATTAAAGAGTGTACCACTAAGAACACCTAGCATGGCTAGGCATTACAGAGTGACCACTAGAACACCTAGCATGGCTAGGCATTACAGAGTGTACCACAAAGAACACCTAGCATGGTTTAGGCATTACAGAGTGTACCACTAGAACACCTAGCATGGCTAGGCATTACAGAGTGTACCACTAGAAACCTAGCATGGCTAGGCATTACAGAGTGTACCACTAGAACACCTAGCATGGCTAGGCATTACAGAGTGTACCACTAGAACACCTAGCATGGCTAGGCATTACAGAGTGTACCACTAGAACACCTAGCAGGCTAGGCATTACAGAGTGTACCACTAGAACACCTAGCTGGCTAGGCATTACAGGTGTACCACTAGAACACCTAGCATGGCTAGGCATTACAGAGTGTACCACTAGAACACCTAGCATGGCTAGGCATTACAGAGTGTACCACTAAAACCCACCTAGCATGGCTAGGCATTACAGAGTGTACCACTAGAACACCTAGCATGCCTAGCATTACAGAGTGTACCACTAGAACACCTAGCATGGCTAGCCATTAAGAGTGTACCACTAGAACACCTAGCATGGCTAGGCATTACAGAGTGTACCACTAGAACACCTAGCAATGGCTGGGCATTACTGAGTGAAACCACTAGAACACCTAGCATGGCAAAGGCATTACAGAGTGTACCACAAACACCTAGCATGGCTAGGCATTACAGAGTGTACCACTAGAACACCTAGCATGGCTGGCATTACAGAGTGTACCACTAGAACACCTAGCATGGCTAGGCATTACAGAGTGTACCACTAGAACACCTAGCATGGCTAGGCATTACAGAGTTTTACCACTAGAACACCTAGCATGGCTAGGCATTACAGAGTGTACCATAGAACACCTAGCATGGCTAGGCATTACAGAGTTTTACCACTAGAACACCTAGCATGGCTAGGCATTACAGAGTGTACCACTAGAACCCTAGCAGGCTAGGTTTTTAGAGTGTACCACTAGAACACCTAGCATGGCTAGGGCATTACAGAAGTTACCACTAGAAACCTAGCATGGCTGGGCATTACAGAGTGTACCACTAGAACACCTAGCATGGCTGGGCATTACAGAGTTGTACCACTAGAACACCTAGCATGGCTGGGCATTACAGAGTGTACCACTAAACACCTAGCATGGCTGGGCATTACAGAGTGTACCACTAGAACACCTAGCATGGCTAGGCATACAGAGTGTCCACTAGAAAAACCTAGCATGGCTAGGCATTACAGAGTGTACCACTAGAACCCCCTAGCATGGCTAGGCATTACAGATTTGTACCACTAGAACACCTAGCATGGCTAGGCATTACAGAGTGTACCACTAGAACACCTAGAAAGGCTAGGCATTACAGAGTGTACCACTAGAACACCTAGAATGGCTAGGCATTACAGTGTACCACTAGAACACCTAGCATGGCTAGGCATTACAGAGTGTACCACTAGAACCCCTAGCTTTGGCTAGGCATTACAGAGTGTACCACTAAAACACCTAGCATGGCTAGGCATTACAGATTGACCACTAGAACACCTAGCATGGCTAGGCATTACAGAGTTTTCCACTAGAACACCTAGCATGGCTAGGCATTACAGAGTGTACCACTAGAACGCTTAGTATGGCTAGGCATTTCGGGCAGACTTTGTTTAATTCTTAATTGTAAAATATTAAAAAATTATGAGGTAAGTTGGTATTATGGCTAAGTGACTAAATACTAGTTTGTGAGTTTAGTAATGTGAATGCTTTTGTTTTGGCACAATACATAGTTTCAGTATTTTAGTATCACAGGATTCATTATTTTAAGACTGAGATTAATATTTGTTTTTTTTTTTTTATTTTTTTTTTTATTATCACACCGGCCGATTCCCACCAAGGCAGGGTGGCCCGAAAAAGAAAAATTTCACCATCATTCACTCCATCACTGTCTTGCCGGGAAGGGTGCTTTTCACTACAGTTTTTAAACTGCAACTTTAACACCCCTCCTTCAGAGTGCAGGCATGTACTTCCCATCTCCAGGACTCAAGTCCGGCCTGCCGGTTTCCCTGAATCCCTTCATAAATGTTACTTTGCTCACACTCCAACAGCACGTCAAGTATTAAAACCATTTGTCTCCATTCACTCCTATCAAACACGCTCACGCTTTGCCTGCTGGAAGCCCAAGCCCTCGCAAAACAAAACCTCCTTTACCCCTCCCTCCAAACCCTTCCTAGGCCGTCCCTACCCCGCCTTCCTTCCACTACAGACTGATACACTCTTGAAGTCATTCTGTTTCGCTCCTTCTCTCTACATGTCCGAACCACCTCAACAACCCTTCCTCAGCCTCTGGACAACAGTTTTGGTAACCCCCGCACCTCCTCCTAACTTCCAAACTACGAATTCTCTGCATTATTCACCCCCACACATTGCCCTCAGACATGACATCTCCACTGCCTCCGCCTTCTCCTCGCGCAACATTCATCACCCACGCTTCACACCTTTATAAGAGCGTTGGTAAAACCTATCCCTCTCATTACATTCCCTTTTTTGCCTCCAAGGACAAAGTTCTTTGTCTCCACAGACTCCAAAGTGAAACCACTCACTTTTTTTCCCTCATCAATTCTATGATTCACCTCATCTTTCATAGACCCATCCGCTGACACGTCCACTCCCAAATATCTGAATACGTTCACCTCCTCCATACTCTCTCCCTCCAATCTGATATTCAATCTTTCTTTCACCTAATCCTTTTGTATCCCATAACCTTACTCTTTCCTGTATAAACCTTTAATTTTCTTCTTTTGCACAACCTACCAAAATTCATCCCCCAAATTCTCTGCAACTTCTCTTCAGAATCTCCCAAGAGCACAGTGTCATCAGCAAAGAGCAGCTGTGACAACTCCACTTTGTGTGTGATTCTTTATCTTTTAACTCCACGCCTCTTGCCAAAGCCCCTCGCATTTACTTCTCTTACAACCCCATCTAAAATATATTAAACAACCACGGTGACATCCAAAATCCTTGTCTAAGGCCTACTTTTACTGGGAAAAAATTCCCTCTTTCCTCCCATACTCTAACTTGAGCCTCACTATCCTCGAAAAAAACTCTTCACTGCTTTCAGTA